TCCTACCCATGACGTATATAGGGAGCAATTCAAACCCAACAGATGAACTACAGCCATAACCTAGAAAAAAGTTCTGCTTTTTTTCAGTGCTCCAAGAAGTCTATATATTCCTCATGACACATTCATCATTACAAATGTGGCTTCATCTGAAGATGATTGTTGCCTGCTGTTTAATTGGAAGGAAATGCATTGCAATGATAAATTATTCCCATGGAGGAGTTTCACAGACGGCTCTCCCAGCTGGGGACCCCAGCCTGCCACCCAGGATGCTCTGCCACCTGTCCAATGCTTCAGGCTCATCAAGTCAAGATCCAAAGGGATTTCTTCTCTCTAGCCCTAGAAGAGGGCTGTTTCATATGCAGCTCTGTAACCTGATAAGCCAGTCAATCAAAAACACAAAGTAGGCTAGTAAGAATTACACATAGAAACAGGCCCGGTAGCTGAGATGATGAATCAACTCAAGTTTCAGCTTTCAGCACTTTTCTTTTAATTAAACTTAAACTCTTGATCTCACCCAGCCCTGCCACCCTTCCTCTTTCCTGTCTTCCCATCCCTCAGATTTCACCTTCAGGGAAAGATGTAATGGCAACCCTTCACCTTGTGCTGATGGGCACAGGCTTCTGGATTCATGGAGATGCCAGTTGTGGTGCTCTCACTGTGCAAGGAGCTGCATTTGGACATAAACTTGCTTCCTTGTAGGCAGCAATCTTCCTAGAAAATGAAGTTTCAGGGGTTATGAGACCTCTGTTCATCTTTAGGACTATCTGAAATAAGATGCCAAAACAAACGGAGGTAGATTCTGAAACCTTTTTCTCTTCTGAAGTCACAGCATGCAAATTTTTTTTAAAATAATGAGATTAGGTGATTACTATAGTCTTCCAGCTGAGATGTTTTTTAGATGGCACTATTTATTTTAGTAATAAAACAACAGTTCAGGCAGAGACTCGGATAATACAAAGCATGTACTGAACCTTCTTTGAAATGTAATCCATTTGCAAGCTTCTCATTTTACACTAAATGAGGGAATGCTCAAAAGAAATGTATTCTTAACAGTGTGTTAGATTCACTGCACAGTAAGAAAGCATGAGGGATGCCATTCCAGAATGCCATTTCTTTGGTTTTAGGTACACCACCCCTTCATATTCCTGGAAGCTTTCCTCATCTGTGGCATGCTGAGTAGAAAACAAAGAGGAGGAATTTTTTGAAAACAAATCATCATACATTTATGGTTAAAATCTTCTCATAACCTTTCCCTTTCATCTCTGTGGAAAGTTGCATGGGTACCTCTCTACATATACTTTGGAATTGTCCTATAAAATCCCAGTGGAAAGAGAGTGAAATTGGGCAGAATAATCTATTTCCTGTGCAGAAATCATCACTGATACTGGTAAGATTTAACATTAGCATTCTCCTGTAGTCAGCTATAACTCTATTCAGCAGTGAGGTGGTCTGATACTAATTTGCCTTTGTCAGCTTTTTAGCTGCCTTTTTCATGACAATTTGCTACTCTTTATTAAGCATAACTAGTGAATATTCATATAAACAAGAATGTACAATTTATTTCTAACATCTCTCTAGAACTAGGACTGCTAATTAGAAAATCTTCAAGGGAAAAAACCCAGGGCCTGCGTGCCCTTCATTACGGGGGAAACTACCAGAAAGTAAATTCAGATTCTTTTCTCAAAATCCTGTCATTTGAGCTCAGATGATAGGGTAGACACTCTTTCAGTGCTGGAATTAAAAACACATATGTAAGTCAAGAAAAGCTACTTGTCTAAAGTGTCTCAAAAATTATACCTGGGAAAAAGAAAACAAAAGTTTTAGAATGAATAATTGAAATATTTTCATGAAAATATCAAAAGAAAGCAATATTTTTGAAAAATCACCTAAATTATATTTTAGTAAGTGGAAAAATTAAGGAGAGGAATAGAAAAGCAAGCTTTGTTTCATGTAAATAGATTTTGACAGGATGCTGAGTGAGAAATCATTTTGTTTGAGTTAATATTTTTTATTATTATCATTTTCAGTAAATTATGAGGCAGAAAAAGTAATTGAAAAACTTTATCTAAAAAATATCAATATGACCATCTAGTCTGACCTTCTGCATAAGACAGACCATGGGATACCATCAAATTATTTCTGTAGCAAGTTCAGAAATTCCACCCGAATTAAAAGTTATTTTATAGAAAAACTTTCTGCTGAATCTTGAGACAGTTTTAAAATAATCTTGGTTTAATGACAGCAGTTGCTGGCAGATATAATCCAGTTCTTTAAAAGGTGCTTCAGTGATTGATTATCCTTATCTTAAACATTTGCCATTGATTTCTGTTCTGAATTTGAGGGGCTTCAGCTCCCAGCCATGAGAGCCTTTTTGCAGATTTTTATGCCTTCAGAAGGTTAAAATGTTGTCTCCTAGTAAATCTGCTCCTCTTATAGGCACTTATCTACTGTGAACAGGCACCATTTACCTTTAAAGATAAACTAAAAAGACTGAATGTCCTGAGTTTTTGCAGAAAAGAAGATTTTCCAGGACTCCAGTATTTCTTCTAGTTCTTTTATAGACATTTCAGTTTGCCAATAAGCTTTTTAAAATACGAAATAGAGCTGATTGCAAATACTGTTTTATTTGAAACACCTTTTTGGAAACATTGATTTACAGGAGATTTCTGAACTGCCTCAAAATTAGACCAACAGTGAAAATATTTTCCAGAGATGTGGCTGACACATGTTCAAATCATCCCAGTTCAAAACAGGGATTTGAATCTTTTAACTCCTGTAATCCAGGGGATTGACCTAATCACTAAACCAGCAGTGCTCTACATTGATTGTCTCCAGTCGAAGTTATCGTAGTTTTTGTAATTCACTGAAGACCAGTGGACCCAAACTGAGAAAACAGCCGTTCATAATGTGCTATGAAAGACCTCTTCTGGGACCACTCCTGGCATGAAGATCTTGGGTTCAAATCCTTGATCCAAACCCAGAAAAGTAGACACCTGCGAAGCTTGGGCCATGACCTAGTAGGAAGCAAAGCACCACCATCCTGGGGGTCCCTCTGAGGGACTGTCCAAAAGGGCAAACATGTCCAGGCCCTGCTGCTGCACTCCCATGTGATGGGAGCCCTGCACTGGCAGGGAAATGAGGTGGCTCCAGCTTGGGACCGTCAAGGAGGCTCAAAGGTGCCAGGATGTACCCCGACTCCAAGGCACCCCGTGGGGCACTCAATCCAGCCACTGGAATTTAAATCCACAGTGACCCAGGGCTGTGGTACCACTACTTGTCACAGGCTGGCTTGACTTCCTCGATGGTGTCTAGCTTTCACACAACAAAAATACAAAAATGTTATTTTACAGGGCTAAAAGCAATGACTATGCCTTGAAACACCCTGCAAAACAGAATTCCTGCTTTTCTGATAATGGTTTAAATACAAAAGCTACATATGGTGGTAACAGCACCTCTGCTTTTGATTGATGCTTATTTACACAATCAAGGACTGCATAGACTCTTGTCTTGCTACTATATCATCCTTAGAGCTTATGTTGCAATGATTATCCACTACAATACTTCAGTCATTTATCTCAATCATGCTTTTTAAAATACAGCCTTCATCTTAAATAAACATGGGCTACAATTTTCATTCTTAGATGAATAACCTTGCATTTAGCTGCATTAAAAAAGATGTTTGTTGTTCAGCTGAGCTACCTAGGCTGTCATCAACATACAGCTTTGGAAATTTTCTATACATCTCATCCTTCCAGTTGGAGACAGGATTACCACAGCAGATGTGACTGAGGGAACTGAGCAAAGGGAAAGGGATCACGACAATGAGGATGAAAACAGGAAAGCTATGGAGGTTTGCTTACTTGCATATAGAAAGGCAACTCTGAAAACTGCAGTGAAAAGATTTTTACCAGCTATCTTTCCCACCCAGGAAAACCAGGCTCTCTGAGAAATGTGGATCATCCCACACCTTCCAGAGTCCTCTCTCACCCTGCAAATTGGCATTTATACTGTTCATCCCTCCTGCTGCTTCAGTCCCTCACACAGGCAATCAGTTTTGAAAGCTAGTCATGCCCTTCTCCCTCCCTCTGAGACAAGAAATAAAAAGCAGTCCAGACGGGAGATTTTATATGTCTGTGTGGGGGTCTGTCTGTGTTTTCCCAAAATACAGATATAATTACTAGGCCTCAGGCAAAGAGAAAGAGAGACAGAGAAAGAATGTGTGCCTAAAGGCACCCAGTTCACAACTTAACTAGGTCCTGCACAACTCTTCCAGGTAAAGGTACTTACTGTTCAGCTGAACTGTTGCATGCCCCAGAACACAGGGGAACCAGGCTCTTATTTATCTGAAGCACAGAGTGACATTTAATGTTTGGGTTTGGGATTTTTAATAACTAACCAGTTTGTACTGTGTATTTTAGTACTCGTTCCAACCTCCTAATACAGTGTAACTTTCCCAGAAGAATGGTAGGAACTAGTGAAGTGACTGTCTCTGTCCCAGACAACGTGGGTGTACAAAAGAGTCTTTCCTATTTCGTCTGTGCTGTATGAAACTATTCCCAACTCCCTCTATATAAAATGTAGCTCTACAAAGATGTGCACCAGCACTCTCGTAGGACTGCACCTTATACGTGCAAGTTTGCCTGTGAAGTTTGTCTTTCCAATATATTCACATATAGTAGATTATTTGTAATTCATCAGCTTGAATGGACACCTGCCATCAGTGTCTGGTTTTCCTATTTATCTGTGGATGAACACAAGGGATTTATTCACCCCAGTTTTTTTCCCAAGACAACTAAATCCATCTTCTCAAAAGAGCAATCCCTGAAGCCTTCAGTGTGCTATTGCGGCTTCCAAATTTCCTCTCCAATTCGGAAGATAACTTTCTGTCTTTTTTTGATTTGTAGACACTCAAAAAATTTTTATTGGAAATGCAGCCTCCTACAAAGCTAATTTTTGCTAACTAGCAATAACTTTTTTTTTCTACTTTACCTTTCATTCCTCTCCTCAAAGCCAATGGACTTCCAGGGCCCACAGAGCACAGCCTGAAGGAGCAAGGTATACCCCTGTATGGAAAAGCATAGTGTGGGTAAACAAGATGATATGTTCAATATCTACAGATGTTATGACTACAGGTTAATCCAGGGTCTCCCAGTCTCTACTGGTAAAACAGTGTCGCTTCTCATTGAAATACATTCCTGGTTAGTTATATAGTTCAAATTTCAAAGTGATGATCTTTGGGAAATTTTTTTTAAATCCCACAATTAAAAAATTTCTATCCAAAACTGCCCAACACTTTCACCCTTTAACTACAATGAAAGTCGAATGTGTTGGGTTTTAAACTTTCTAAATACAAGCCAATAAAATTTCCAGGGAAAACAGACAGCTTTTTTGAAAGCAGTGTTTAAGGGAGAGAGCTAACATACCCATAAAATTACATTTCAACACTAATATTCTCATTAACTGTAATTGCATGTTTTATAAGGTGTAATATATTCTTGGTTCCACAAACCACTGCATGTGCAAAAAGAAAACAGAGAGAGGTGTACCTTCATTGAGGCAGTGGTCAAAGGGAAGTCCTTTGATGCAATGTCTGCAAAAGACACGTAGACAGCTCGTGTCAAACAGGCACAACATCATTTCACACTAGGAAAACAAGCAGTGTCACAGCAGATTAATAAAAACCCCTTTTCTTTTCTAGAGTGGGGGATTTCTTGAGTACCATAAGCTGCAACCTCATTAAGATATCACAAGCAAAAACATATTTCTGACATTTCCAGTGCTTTTGGTTTTTTAATTCACTCATCCTCACCAGGAGCAGTTATCAAGAGTATGGGAGGACAACTGCTGTTAACCAGAACCGCCTTCAAGGGCAAACAACTCTGATCCAAGCTCTTGAGCAAGGGGGAGAGACAATCCCCAAATGAAGTAAATCTTCAGAGGGCAGCAGGAAGACTATTCTGGGTGAAAGCAAAGTATGTGTCCCCCTCAAGTTTAACATCTTTTTTTTCCTCTATTTCAGCTTGTAAACCAGATAAGAATATGAACTGAGAATTTTTTTTTTTTTCTTTTATAGTGAGGTATTGCTTTTGGCCTCCATTGGTCAACACTTCACAAACAAACCCCAAAACTTGTATTGATGATGCTGCAGAAAATGAAGAGTGTATGAGTAAGGGTCAGTATGAAATATGGGTAAAATACTGGCAACCCTGTAAAAGATGGTGTGGCAACAGAACAGTGGAAACAGTCACAGAGACCTACTAGCTTACCAGTTTTCACCTGTTACAATGTCTGTGGAGAACAGCACTAGAAGAGTATTTGATTCATCTCCAACTGAGGTGAACCAAAGAACTCCTGTTTACTTCAGACAGCTTATTTCAAGATTTCACAGAAAACGGGTGGCAGCTTAGGGAGAAATGTGATGGATGTTTAGTAGGAATGTGAGTATAGACCTCCCTCCATCTAAAGCAACTCTTGGCTGTTCTTTCTAAGCATCATATAAATTATTAGACAGACTGAGCTAAGGGGGGGAATGGAATCCAACCTGGTGGTAGTTCAATTCCTCCAGCAATGGTTTGCTGATCACTACAGTATGTGAGACTAGATTAATATCAAACAGGAATGGCATTTCGAGAAAATACCTGAAGCTTTATCACTTGTTTTCCTTCTGCACTAGATCAAAGGCCAGACCTCTCTGAGATATTTGGTAAAATCAGACAGATTGTGCACACGATGGAGAGCGCCCAAGTTCAGGTCCCTGCTGCTCTGGAATTTGCTTCATCCCAAGCACAAGTGCCCCACAGCAAGCTATAATGTCAGTCTCCATGGGGTTATCCATTTGGCAATGTTGCACATGCAACAAATAAGTTTTGAGTAAAACAGAACAGGAACTCGACAGAATCTGTCGCTCTCACATGTTGACATTAGCTGAGAACCAAGAGAGTTCAAGCAACCCACCCCAAGCATCAGTAGGGATAAAAAGAATTTTTTGTTTGAAACTACAATGCAATGACTAAATAAGTAAATAGTATTTCATACATATCCTGTTACACAGAGATATAAAGGGTATGCAGCCAACAATTACATTTATAAAGGAAAATGAAAAGTGCATATGATATGAAGGGCTATACAAATCAAATGTAAAGATTATTTCAAAATAAATTATCTTAGTGAGGCAGGAAGTCTTACCCAAGTTACCTAAATTAATTAACTAAATTCACAGAGGTATTTTTAAAGTATCAACAGATGAGAATCTCTACATGAGCACAAGCTTAATAGAAGAAAATTACTTTCTCTGTGATAGTCTTATTTTTATTTTAAATATTGACATAATATTATCTCACTATACACCTTATATAAGGTAGTCAAATATTAAAATACTGCTTTATCTTAATCTGTTAAAATAAGTTTATCACCCACTTTGTGATCAGACCAAACTCTTCTGATCTGTGTCTTTAAAGTTTCACAGTTATCTAACCTCCTAATATCCTAACTTAAGTTAAACTGGCATGAGTCAGCTCTATTGTGTTACTCGGTTATGCAAAATTACTATCCACATTTTTATCTTGTTTTGTGCCTATATGGTTTCCATATACTATTTCCTATACCGTTTTAGGCAAAATCTCACACTTAAACCTACCAAAAGACATAGGATTGAATGATAGCTCTACTAATGCACATGTGCACTTTGACCAGAAGCCCATTTATTCTGTTATGGAATGTCTTGAATAACATTTATTCCTAGAAATTTGCAAATGATTAAAATAATGTTCTCTTTTCTGCTTTAATAAGGCTTTGAACTTTTTTTAAAAAAAAAAAAAAAAAAGAAAAACACAGAAAGAAATAGCACAAACTTTTTGAAACAAATTACTAACGTAATGAATGCTTCTAATCCAACAGCTAGGACATTTTGCTCTGAATTAGTGAGCAAGAGAATCCGAGACATGTTCCCTCTAGGATCCCTCGGGGCTCTTATTGTCCTAAGTACACAATCAAAGAACAAAATCGGGTGCCTCCAAGTCATCTAAAAATCATTTCAGGGATAACCTGTGATTTTGCTTTTCATGCAGAGTGCACTGCTGCATGAATTGTGAATGGAAATTTATGCATATTCGAATCCCAAATAGCCGACAGGTTTTGACTGGCTTTTCTTTGGTCCCTTCCATTAAGCAATCATAAAAATTTTAGAAGCTTGGTTTTGCATAAGAATTCAGCTCTTTATTGATTTGTGAAGCAATAGTGAATCGTCACAGTACATATGTTACCTCTCTGAAGAGAATATGCCCTTACATCCTCACAGGCTAGATGCCCAGTTAATTCAGGGCAAGGGCAGAGAAGGGTCCAACTTCCAGTTTCCTCCAGCACACAGAACAAGGACTCATTTCCCTGAAAAAAAAAAGAAGTTGCTCACCTCTGTTTCACTTTTCACTTTAGTATATATTAGGTAGATGTAATTACTGCTATGTCTAAACAGGGTCCTTTCTGCATCCCATTTGAACTTCTGTAAACAAATGATGCTTCAAGACAAAATCATTAAACCCAAAGAGACAGATTTTACTGTCATGGGAGCATGGGACTATTAATCCCAGGGTTGTGGGTCATTCCCAGTGTTGGTCACCAAAAAAGACTGTTGTGTGTTAACCCCAGTTGGCAGCTCAACCCCATACAGCTACTCACTCACAGAAATCAGACAGGTAAAAGTGATAAAACTCATGTGTTGCGATAAAGACAGTTTAATAGGTAAAGCATGAGAAGCAGAAAAGGCCTTGACGCTGTCCCTATGTTCTCAACACTGTTTTCATCACAGATCCAAAACTTAGCATGGTACAAGCTACTATGAAGAAAATTATCTCTATATATATCTTTTCAAGCCTACTAACTTAATTGGAACATAGAGGAATAGAAACTTGGATTCAAAGGTTCAATTTTATGTTCTGGATCCCAGGCATGGTATCTAATTCTGCCTCGCCTTGCGTTTTCCCTGTACACCTGTGAGAGGGAGACTGAGAAACTGAGATTATAAACGTGAACTATTTCCCACTGGAAACACGCACACGTCTTTGGAAAGCATTGTGAGCAGATGGTCTTCTGAAGCCACACACCATGCAGATGTGAGCTGCTCAAACTACCCTCCACAATCCCTTCCTCTCAGCCCTTTCCATTTTCAGCTGGGCTGGCTCCTTACACTTCAACCAACCTACTCTGTCAACACTGAGGCTGATGTAATTGATAATTCCTTTGCAGGTTCTAACGAGGAAGACTGAAATCACCACCTCCTCCCTAGCTTTCTTTTTCCTTTACCAGTGATACCAGGGAGAAACTGAATATTGTTCTTTACACGCGGAGAGTCACTAATTAAATGCAGCCACTTCCCTTTATGTATGCCCACAGTCTTCTAATACTTTTACAAGTTGTCACACACAGAGTGCTATATGTGTGTACATAGGGCTATATGCTGTAACCCTAGGCAACAGAAGAGAGCAAAATAAAGTTTAGCAAAACAAATGCACTTATACTCATGGATCTCAAACAATTGGTCATAGCTTGTTACCGGATCCAGCAAAATCTAATGAAACTTCAAGAGGATTTTAGGAAATAATCACCATGTTGTTACACTATGGATGGTCTCAAAAGTATGGGGCTAACAGAGAAGGCACTTGAAAATAAAAGATCTCTTTTAAATTTAGGGCACTATATGCCATAAAGCTAGTAGGAGTAATTTATTCCCACCAAAAGCAAGAAGGATCGGAGACAGATTTTTCCTGATAAACAACCCTAATGCTCAAGTAAGTGAGATAATTACAGCTACACTTAGCTCGGGGATGGCATGGGCCACGGGGGAAAAGAAAGAGATCCTAATGTCCCAGCTTGTTCCCACCTCTCTTCTACATTCCTGGAGATCATAAATTACAGAAACTTACAGGGAAAGGGCTTTCTAAGCCCTTCCTCACTTTCCCTCTCTCTTTAGGGAATTGCCAAGTCCATATAATGCAATAACCCCCTTTGTAATCTTTTGGCAAGGTTAATAAGTTGCCCCTAATACTGATGTGATAAATGTATGAGGCTAACGCTTGGCTAATTGTTTTTCTCTGTGTGGATATTAAGTCCTGAAGGTGAGAAAGTAATAAGTTTTTGTACATTTATGGTTACAGTGCAACAGAAAAACCTTTGCTTCATCTTACATGCACCTGGGGGGGGATGTGCACATATGCCAATATATATTGTGTATGTATGCATATATGGTGGACAGGCTCATGCCTGTGCAAGGGTGTGAGTCTGCATCTCTTTTTGTGGTTTACTTTTCCAGCAGAATACCTGGTGGCATCTGATAGTTTGTGTATGTTTATTTGTTGTGCACTAAACCTTTCAGTCATACACAGTCCTTCAAAGGCTCCCACGGCCCTGTCTGGGCTTGTTTTTGCAGGCAAACTGTTGCTGCCCATAGGAATGCTGCAAGGGAAAGGGAGAGATTGTTTCCAGTGTCAGTTTATCTGCAATAAAACTTCCTTCACTGCCTCGCCAGAGAAATAAATCTGGAACTTGTAGCTATTCTACAGGTTATTCTGAAATAGGTCAGTGACACGCTGACAAATGAACAGAATTCGTTCTTGTCTACTGCTAGAGCTGCAGGAAACTTCAACTTCCCTAAGATGCAGGAAATAATAAGATGGAATTATTTTAATATTATCAGGTAAAAACACACAATGTGCCCGAAAATCTTCTTAACCTTCATGGTCTCATTGCATCACCTCTGAATTATGCCAATTTCCCATTAATTTAAAGAAGAATTTTCTAGAGACAGACATCTCTTAAGATGCTGTGACACGTCCCTCAGTAACTCTGTTAAGTGCACTTTCAGTGTAATGATACGCCACAATGCCTTGTAAAAGATCACAATCAGTGAGTACAACAATTGTGCCAAGACCAGTTAAGAGAACTTATTAAATCAGAAATTTGTAGTCAATGCACAGATTAATTTAAACTAGAAGAGTTCTAAAAAAAGATAGACTGATATAGCTGATGAATAGTTTTTGCTCTCTTTCTCTCTTACAGTTTCTTGCTCTTTCTTTCTCCTTCTATGCCTTAGTTAAAGTGTAGTTCAAATCAGTGAAAAATACATTTGTTCAACAGAATCCTCAAAATATTATCTTAAATTTCTTGGTAGTTCAAATTCTTCACCTTTTGGACAGGAGGAAAAAGTTGTGGATGGGTGAGAAAAAAGAATGAATATATGTGGCCACTAATTTACTGATGCAGCACACCAGAGATGGAAATATTCACAATGAATTTTTGCTTTTCTTCACTATATTGAAAATTTTTAAAACAAATGAAACACAACCCCAGCAATAATTTTTAGCAAAAGCAAATTTTCCAGCTCCCTGAGAAAGGCCATCTGGGAAGGCAAAAATAATGTAATGTGAATAAATGTCCTGCTTTCTTTTCACTAAAGGAGACATTACATAAAACAGCATCATCATTGCTTTAAGTCATAGCATTTTTCACTTTGAGATTTCAGAACATTGTTAGTATTTATTTTTCTACTGGGCTCATCCTCAAGCGCTTTCTGAATATGCATAAATAGATTCCTGCCATATATATTCACTTTTAACAGCAACAGTTTAATTGCTCCGGTCATAAGAGCCTATAAATTAACAAAGAAGTCACGCTTTCATTGAGATCATTCCTCAAACAAAAATACTCTAAGCATTCACGAGAACTGGCCCAGGCAAAACTGTGGGGTACAGGGAAGAACAGAAGGATTTCATGGATCCATCTGAGCTCTCAAACATGAAAAGCCACATTTTAGACCATCCCGGATGCACTTTACAATAATTCGAAAGCAAGAAACTTCTTTGCAGTCTACATAAACATTTATATCTCAGCAAAAGGGCTGCATGCCCAGGGAAAAGCTGGTTGCAGGGTAATGGCTCTTCTCAAACCGCATCAGGTGAGGGAGCAGGACCAACACTATGGATTTCGCACCATTTTGGATTTTGCTGGTGTCAGGAAGAGAATTTGCTTTCAGTGATGTCAGGAAGAGAATTTGAAGCTACTGAACACTGCATGTCTCTTCCTAGCACGTGCTCTGCTTTCAGCCTAGCCCTCGCTTCCCTCAACAGTTGCTTTATCTGGAAAACAGAGGAATGAAGCATTTCCCCGCAGCTGAAACAGCGGCAAAAGTATTCCCTCATCCTTTAAATATGATGTGTGTGCTGCTGTTGTCCGTGCCTGTGATTTGCTCGGATGGGAGTGGTCAAGGATTCCAGCACAGTGAACATCACGAGGCATCCATCACCCAATATACCTAACAGGCTAGAATAGCCCTTGCCTACAGCTTTCTGGCTCTCTCATCCACTCTTCTGGCTTGCAGCTACACAGCTGCATGAGGAAATGAAGGCAAACATTTTCCCACTTTTTCTCCAAAAATTGGTAATTATAATTTCTCTTTAGTGCACAGTTACTGAGGAAAAGAGGAGGGGGAAAAAAACAACCAACCAACCAACCAAACAACAACAACAACAAAAAAAACACAACAAAAAAACAGCATTAAACACAAAGCCTGTAATCAATGAAAACTTCTTGAACAAAAATAAGTGACTGATTCTTCAGTAGGCAATGCCTCACAGATACACCCATAAATAATCCCAGGGTACCAGTGTGACAGTCTAGTCTGGCCAACAGCACAACACCGGTCATGCAACTTTCAGGAGTGAATTATTTCTGTTTGGACAAGTGCATCCTCTAGGGAAGAATGACAATTTTTAATGTCACAGTTTTCAAGAATGGAGAATCCATCACAATTCAGTAGAAATTCTTCCAAGCTTAACTGCATCCATGCTTTTAAATGTGCTTCACATTTTAACGAATTGTCTCTCGGAAATGTAATTTGAAATGTTCAGGTTACTAGATGGTTTCAGGTTCAAAAAAAAATCCAAGTAAACTTCCTACAGGACAGAATGTATTGCTTTCTCAGAACATGCTATATTTATTATTTTGCTTTTTAAATGTTTACAAAATATAACTCTCAAGTTGATACATCTGCCTGACCTTTGGTCTATCTGTTTGAGATGTGTTATAGAAGCACATAGGGCCTTTGCTTTTCCTTTAGTCTTTGCACCACTTGGAACAGATAACGACATATACATGCTGGCTAACATTCCCCTGAAGGAACCTGGAGCGATGAGAATGTTTACTTCACTGGACAGGCTTCCTGTAAAAGCTTATTCTTCTTGCAATAAGGCACCTACCCTTGTTTGACCCTGCATTTGATGTCAAGATAATATGTTGCTAAGGATGTCACAAGCTCAGCATAATTTTCCTTCACTAGAAGCTCAAATGCAGTGAAAGGAGGAGATGGGTTGAGAGGAGACAAGATCCAATTTAAT